CACACTCACACACACACACACACACACACACACACACACACACACACACACACACACACACACACTGTGGGTTGTGTGCTATGGCAGAGAAAACATGTTTATCTGTATGTTTACTCAGAGAACAGCTTCAGAATACAAATTTCACTGGAAAAATTGTTGGGGAGAGCAGAGGCTGGACTCCTCTCCTCACACTGTAGACCCAATCCTTTCATTGGTGGGGGAATATAATTTTGGGGGGGATGTCCATCTGGTTTGGCTTTCAGAGGCTGTTGTCTGGCTATAGATTGAGATAGCTGGGAAGAACAGCACTGTTGAACTTCAGAAAGCTATTTACCTTTCAAGTCATTTTCTAGCAATAGCAGTTGCAAGAAAAAGAACAATAACCAAATAAAAAACAGGCAAGTTTGTAAACTAGACATCTGAAAGTAGGCAGGCTGCCTGCTTTGCTGGGCTGTGACTTGACTCAAACATCTCCTTATATGATGAGAGGAGAGTATTTGTCACCGATGGGAGTTTGATAGCACAGTTGAGCCTCCACCTATCTCATTTGCCTCCTTCTCCTTGTTTCCACCTTTCAGTGTCCATCTTTTCCACTACAATTTCCTTTCTGATACACTCATTCACAGGTGCACTGTCTTTTTCTACCCTCTGCAGGAAAGCCGGCCTCATCCTATCCCAGCTTGGGGACCTCAGTGCCTGGTGCCATGGCCTTTTACAGGAGCCCAAGATTGGTCTTCAGCGTACATCACTCAAATTCCTTGCCTGCCGCTACAGTGAGATCAAGCCATATGGATTCACTTGGTTGGAGCTAAGCCAGGACCTCAAGAAGACCTGTGAAGAGCAAACACTGACTGTCCTGTACAATGACTATGGGGACAAAGAAAACTGAACAGACTCAAGAGAAGGAGTCAAAGAACTTCATCAGAAGCAGGGGGGAGACCAGGGAGTTTGTAGATGCACGTTGGGTGGGTTTTATATATGGATCTTCAGTACACCAGACTGATCTATGAAGACAGTGTTGTTTAGAAAGAGAGAAGCTTATGTTCTTTGCATTGGCTAACATGGTTTGACATGATCAACAGCCTTTTCACATTTGCTAGGTTATGTGGGACCCAGTATTTGCTGTTCTGGATGGGGAATTGCTGTGCTGATTTTGCTGAAGACAGATGTGGGGAGGCTTAACTGCATATGTGTGTTATGTGGAGAAAACCCTGCTTCACTCTGGGTAAAAGAATAACAGGCTGTTCTTCCCCAACACCCAGTAGAATTGAAATACAATAACCAAGGCCAACAAAATAAAGGAAGCTCTTTTTTGGAATGGAACAATTCAGCAGCAGAAAGAAGAGTGGATGCAAGTTCAAAGCAAAGGAAAAATGTGATTGGAATAGAAAAATAGAAACCTAGAAAACTGAAGTTGGAAGGGGATTACAAAGCCATCAAGTCCAACCCCCTGCACAATGCAGGAATCCAATCAAAGCATATCTGCCAGGTGATTATCTAAGTTTTTCTTGAATGCCTCCACTCACCAACTCCTGAGGCAACTGGTTCCACAGCTGTACTGCTCTTACAGTTAGGATTTTTTTCTGATAGTCAACCGAAATCTGGCTTCCTTTAACTTGAGCCCATTGCTGTGTGTCCTACACTCTGGGAGGACTGAGAACAGATCCTGCCCCTCTTCTGTATGACAGCCTTTCAAATATTTGAAAAGTGCTATCATATCACCCCTCAGTCTTCTTTTCTCAAGGCTAAACATGCCCAGTTCTTTCAGCCTTTCCTTACAAGGCTTGGTTTCCAGGCCCCTGATCATCCTTGCCACCCTCCTCTGAACTTGTTCCAATTTGTTAACATCCTTCTTGAAGTGTGGTGTCCAGTACTAGTGGTTTGTGCAATTCTTCAAGTAAGTAATGTTTCCCATCTGAAATCCCATATAAAACCTGGGAAATTGTCAAAGAAAGGTATATGGCCCCAAGGGACCACAGGAGAGCCAGAGCAGGCTTAAAAGCCAGCTTCCAATGTTCCAGGCAAAAGGTACACATTATCAGTTATTTGCTTTCCTTCCAAAGGATGACAATCCAGAGAAGGTAACAGATTTTCTCAACTTTCAGGTCACGGCACTGACACTAGCTGCTGAACATAACCAGCAGTCATCCCAGAGAGCACCTCCTAAATGCTTGTGTTTTTCAGTTTGTTTCAATAAGAAAAGCTAGAAGTGATGGAATTGTGTTTTGTGACTGGCATCTTGAAGGCAGCCAATTATCCAGGAAGTAACAGATGCACTGAAAAGGGCAGGTGGCATTCTGTTCAACGCCCATCAGATTTTTTGAGGCAAATCAAAAGGGAGGGTTCTGCAGAAATTAAGTCTCTATCATAACTGGTAATGAGCTATCCTGCTGAGTGTTCAGGATATGTGAACAAATTGCTGCTCGTTACCCCTGATGATATAGGATATTGTAAGCAGAGCCATTACTTTGTTATAGAGGCTTCAGATAATGAATTGCAAGGTTTTATTTGCAGCAATCATAAACTTTCAAATGAATTAAACATTGATCCTGGGACAAATATTTATTTTCAGTTTTAATTCTTTAAAAAACCTTCCAGTTTATGAATGTAGAATATATGTATCTGTGATTTAAAATGCCAGGAAACGGACTGATATTGCTGCACAATATTGTGTCTGCATTACCAGCAGGAAAAAGGATGCCAGGCTTTACATAGCAAAAGGCAACAACAATGGCAGCAATCAAGATGGTCTGCAGCAGTGGTTCCCAACTTTGAGTACCAAGATGTTTTTGAACTAAAAGTCCCAGAAGTCTTCACCACTAGCTTTGCTGACCAGGATTTCTGGGAGTTGTAATTCAAGAACATCTCGGGACCCAGTGGTCTACAGGATATCCTCTTGTGCTCCCTACCATTTACGAAGGGAAAAATCTCAGAAGTTCTCCTTTTTGCATCAGTTAATCACTTCTCACCCAAACACAAAACAATTGAACACTCTTGCTGGTAAGCCTGTTCCATGATGCCTAGTTTATAAGTTAGTCACAATTTTCTTTTTTTTTAGGGCCTTTTTTTGAGAATCAATATTTCAGCCCTAGCAGCCTGAATTGCTTCCAAATGTATTGCAGAAATACTTTGAATATATTTTACAAAACTATATGTGAATTCCCCAGAGATACATGGCAAAATGTCGCTTTCTGAAGCACTGTCATGCCATTACTTTCTTTAAACTAAGTATGCTTTTTCCCACTTTTTAAAGAAAATCTGTCTTTTTCTGTGACCTTTCATTTTCCTCCAAACAAATCCCTCCTAGCACATGAAGGTGCAACAATAAATCTACTTGGAACAGTCTTGGAGGTAAGTGTGTTCCATGCATATTCAGTTTATTATAAAGTGGTTGCTGTTTTTTCTTTTTGAAAGAGCTTTTTTGAGGGTCAGTATTTCAGCCCCTACAGCCTGGATCTTTTACAAATGAAAAAAAAAGCTCTTTAAAAATAAGTAAGATTGGTCTTTTCAATTTATATGAGCTATTTAAAATCTCAAAATATTTTAGGTTCACTTCTGCATAGAGGGGAACTGTTTTCCTTAAAAAAAAATCATAACAAAAAACCTTTGCCCCATAACTTCCCTAAATATGTCACAGAGCAAGAGCAAAGTCCAGTTTCAAAGTTACAATGTTTTGTTTGGGCTGCCCCCATTTTTAGAATTGCCTTGTAGAATGCTGATTTGCTCTGCCAGCACAATAATGATGCATACCCTTGTTGCACACCCTTGTTGCCCAGACATCATGTTAGAAAAATGTATTCACTTAACTGTAGAACAGGATGATGGGAGCTCCCAAAAGATCATTCCTGTTGCCACTCTTTCTACTTACTTGTACTAAAAAAAGAATTACCTATCATATTTTTAGAATTCTGATACCAAATTAATTGGAGCATCTTTTAAATCAGCTTTTAACAGATTAACTTACATTATTGCTATTGTTGTCCTCCAGAGATGTTGGATTATAGTTTCCAGGAGACCATGGAAGTTGTTTGCCAACACATCAGGAGGACACCTTGTTGGGAAAGAGTCAGTTAAACAATTAATTGGCTAAGCATGTAAACTCATTCCTAGCACCAGGTGCACGCAGAACCCCTGTTGAAAGTTTCCCAGATTTCTCTTTGTCCTTACAAAGCATTTTGCTTCTGCCCATTTTTCTCCTTCATACATCCACTGCCCATGTGTCTGTTCTCCAAAATGTAACTGCCTTTCCTGTAGGTCTAGTGATGTTATCATGCACAATTTCTCTTTCCTTTCCCCTCAGTTTAGTCAAATTTCTGCTCAAAGAACTTCTGAGTTTGCTTGTTGTAAACTTCTGATTTCCTACCTGGTTCCTCCAGAAATGCTGGAGTGGTTTCCTTATGATGTTATTGTTACTCTTTTTGTGGGTACCATTCACTGAATTTCTAAAACTTGATATCTTTCTGATCAAAAGCAGACTTTGTGGCATTGGGAGATGTCAAGAGGATCCTGCATCCTTGGTCCATTGCTAGTCATAAAACAACCCAACAGTGTTTGCATTTAATAGACATTTAAGCTTCATTTTAATGCACAGAGAGAGAGAGAGAGAGAGAGAGAGAGAGGCAATCTTTTCGGCAGTCTTCTGTGTTTTTTGCCACCTTTTTTGAGTTCACACTAGGTTCTTTGTGTAGTGCTTTTAAAAATGTAGTTCTTTATTCTGACAGTTTTTCTGAGCAGTATGACCCATGTACTTAAGCTTTAGGAGCAGAATACAAAAATCATTACATGAACAAAGGTGACCCAGTTGCCACAGCAGTTTTTCCTACCCCACCTGTCTGTGTTGCTGCTGTTTGTACTTCTAGTTGACGCTTTTTCCACCTCACTACAAATCCAGTAACTATATCACTCTCTGTAGCTGATCCCATCATTTCCAAGAATGTTGATTCCATTCCAGTTTTGTCCACTTCTGTTTCAAACCTTTCTCAAGCTGACAGATAATAACTTCCACCACCTTGAATATGGGTGCCGTCAATCTGTGATTGTTCACACATGCTTAGGTTGGGTCATTCAGCAAGCAGAGGAAACTGTTGTTTCATCTCAAAATAGGTTTTCCTGAAGAAAATAACTGTCCAAATAACCTTGAAATTCTTAATATGCCTGAAAGAGAATTATGAGGATTTTGGCCCCATCATTTGCATCTAGTATGTGGTGACATAAAGAAATATTGTCAATAATTTAAAAAAAACACCCAACAACACCATAAGCTGTCAGGTTTTTTTCATTATTTTGGGAAGAAAGATTTCTATGGAACTGAACTTTATTCTTATTATTATGATTTCTGCAAAATTCTGTACTGCTGTATTAATATGGTTAACTTGTATTTGTTGTGAGGTTGTTTAATATGGATATGAATTGATCTGTTAATTTCTTTTCCTCAGATGGCTTATTTTGTACTATTGTCATTGCCTAGTGTTTTCTTCAAACTCCAATGCAAGGTTTTGATACTGTAGATCGATGATGGGTGGAGCTGGCTGTAATGTTGGGAAAAGCAGTATTATTCCTGTTGTTCTTTTTAAAAAAATAAAGTAATAATTGTAACACACTGTAAAATCCAGATGACTAACTAAATATTAAATAGTACTGTTAGTATTTCAAAGGGTTAGAAATTGCTATGTCTTTATAATTTGAGACCGGCTGATAACTCCCCCTGTACCTTTTTTCTTTTTTGTGTGTGTTGGATGAAATGTTTAGTCTATAGCTTCTTCTTTTCAAATTGAGTTCCCTTATGTCATTGATTTGCCAATCAAACCTTGCACATTTTTGCATAAGCTAGTAATGTGGGCTGATGTGTACTTAGAGGGATTTGAAATACATACCTCTTCAGCCTGATTGTGTGAATCCCTTTTGAATAGGGCACTCTGAATTTATGTCTGGTTTGAAATGAGAGCTCAGTTGTTTAGATACCTAGCTCTGGAGTCAGAGGTTGGGAGTTTGTGCCTCCTGCAAGTAGAGCCAACCTATGTGACTTTGAGCAAGCTGCGCAGACTCAGGAAGAAGAAAAAACCAGGACAATTGTATTGATCTTCAAAACAATACAAATGCAGGAATAGATCATATGTTTATTTGACCATTAAGAAAATAAAACAAAAAAACAGAACAAGTTTTCAATGATAATTCACCTTCCTCAAGCTCTGCACTCAGTTCTCATGGGTAGCTCCAAAATAACATATTTATATTAAAGTCCCCAAAGTTCCATGGCTGCTGTTGGGGACCAGGCACAGCTTCTTAGACAGAGATAGCTGTAGTTTTCAGAATAAACCACTTTTGAATATTCTCTACCTGGAAAACCCTGAAAAGGGTTGCCATATGTCAGAAATGAATTGATGGCACATTATTATTACTATTATTATTATTGAAAATCTTTTTTTAAAA